CGTCGGCATCCCCGCCGCCATGCAGGCCCCCGCACCCCTCGCCGTAAAGCAATGGTACACAATCTTCACACGCGGCGGCGCAATCGCCCGTCCTCTTGCTGCCATCTCGGCGCTGGCAACGGGATATCTGGCTTATCACCGTACGTTTCGTCCCATCTCATCTCCCTTCCAATTCCCCAAAGTCGCACACTATCCAGCCACCACGCATAACTCAAGCCATCACACACTAACAACCCAACAGAAGACCGCACCTCCACCCCCTTCCGCCTCAACGCGCTCGCCACCCTCCTCCTCCCCTCCATCGTGCCCTTCACGATCCTCGTCCTCGGCCCCACAAACAACAAACTCATGGCCAAGAAAGATGAACTCGCCAACGCTTCCCTCCGCGACAAGCACGTCGAGCAATTTGCCAAGGAAGGCGAGACAGTCAAGGAATTGATGGACAAGTGGGCTAGCTTGAACTTGGCGCGCGCGCTGCTCGTCGGTGTCGGTGCGGTTTGCGCTGTTGCGGCGGGTGTTGTGGGAAGGAGGGAGGTTAAGGAGATTGGCAGATTTGCGGGGTGGGGACGGTAGATTGGATGGTTGAGATGAGGTGTCGGTTAGGGGGTTGATGAAGATGGAGGGGGTTATGATGTAAATCATGACTTGTAGGGCAGATGGGGATATACGAGGGTATGATACACGAATACATGCATTGATCAAGACATCTCAGCTTGAGTAGTAGACCAATCCTAAGAGAAGAGGTTCGCATTTGAAGAGAAGTATCTGCGTATGATAAGATGTGCTCTGGGACTTGTGGAGCGCGGACTCCTCAACTGACTCCATCTATATATCCATGTATACCGGAAGACTAAAAAAAATTGCGATACGATAGAGGCTGTGTGCCCCAACAGAGCTAAGACATACGACTTGACCTTAGCACACTACAACCCGTGTAGATCAAGATCTTACTCTTTACCACATCACATAGCACTTCCCAGTAGCAACCAACATACAATCCACAAATACATTTATCTATGCACCTTGCTATAAAGATTCACCCATCAACCCCCAACACAACCCCCATCATCCACTCTCTTAGTTAACCTTAGCCTGAGCCAAGCTGTTAATCTGCTGAGCACCATCCTGAATCTTGCCGTTCGCAGCCTGGAAACGGCACAGGTTGCCAGAGCGCTCTTGGACGTTGTTGTCGCACACGAGCTGGTCGTTTGCTACGCAGTTGAGAGCGCCGTTGCCTTTTCAATCACATTAGCATCATCTTTGTCTCAAAAAGAAGAACCCATGTCAGGGTTTCGGATATACGTACAAGCAGCAGGTCCTCCAGGCACACACTTGCCAGCCGCACCGTTAACAGTGCAAGCATCCTGCTTGAGAGACTGCTCGGGGATACAGCAAGCGCCGTTAGCAGCCTGACGGTTCTCAAGCACGCTGCGGGGGGTGTTGCGGACGTTCTCGACGTCGGCGATGGCGGCGGAGGAGACGGCGACGAGGCCGAAGAGGAGGGCTGTGATGGAGAACTGCATTTTGGCGGTTGGTTTCGAGAAGTAGCGAAGTTTGTTGGTTCGGGAATTGGTATTAAGCAACTGATTATTGGGATTTTTGATGGGTGAGTGAAAGTGAATTGATCCGCACAGCGGGTAGTGAATAAAGAATAAATGTAGATGTGAATTGGAAGACTGGCTTGGGAAATGTATTACGGGCTGGCGTAGATGCGAGCTTTATACTTGCTTGTGAGAGGCCTTCTTCTGAGCATGGGGCATTGATACCTATTTTGCCTTTCCATAAAAGGTATCCAGGGACGGTGATCCTGAGGCAAGTCGCAGGCAGTCGATCATGCACATCTCAAACCTTTCGCCGGGTGGTCGGGCCCTGGCGGGTCTGGCAAACCGAGGGATCGCAGGCGGGCAAAACAATGATTCTTGTGTGTAGGGAGTATGGCCGAGGTGGAACCTGTGTACTGTTTTTCTAGATGAGGGAGATACAGTATATCATGATTGCGCTTCTCTCCCAGCCTTGCATCTTGGTGGTGGCTGACAAAAAGCCGCGCTACACCCCATCTCTCACCAACGCCACACTAGACAACTGCAAGCGTGCCGTCAAACCCGAGTCGACAAGCGAAACCGAAGCGCTGCCTTGCACTTGAAACACTTGCTGCCTTCTCAAACATGCGGCCTTGGGGACCTCGGGACCTTGGAGAAAGATGTAAAACGCAGAAGAACCTGCGGTTAAACGGCTGATTTAGGCGACGGGTCTGTGACATGCAGGTTCAGGCGCTTCCAGGCGCATCTTTGCATGACGGTCGTGAACGAGTTGAGCGTGAAGACCGAGGAGAGCTTCGTCTGGGTGCAAGCGGTACCGATGTCTTGGTTTCGTCGAATGCGATTTTGCGTGTTGCGAGATGCAGGGTGAAACTGCCGGGTAGCCGGACTACACCGCTCTGGCGTAGAGTGCTGCTGAGCACCGAGAGAGACATCGCGAGAGGACCGGAGAGAGGTTAGACAGTAGATGACTGTGGGACGGGTACCTGCGCATAATGTTAGGGGTGAACAATGCCAGTTACACGCGCTTGCAACGTTGGCGCTGAACACAATGGGAATTGCACATACCATTTGCGCAACACCGCCGACCACGGAAACATCATGCTCAAATTCCACAATGTACAAGCTTGTCCTCAAGCTGCGCCACAGTTCCTGCGACGTTGACGAGAGACATGGTTCGGGCTGTGATGCACCTTTTGTAAAGGTAAGATAGTGTATATGTATATATGGTACGTTTAAAGGTCTTGCGATCTGGAGGTAAATACAACTTGCCCATTCGTACATGGGTTGTAATGAATCAGCCGATGTGCGGAAAGTACTGTGACCAGCGCGGTACTTCAAAGGCTGACTCCGGGAGGTGGAAGACGTCTAGAAAACATTCGACGATGATAAAGGCCCTGCAGAAGGCATACAACAACGTAAAACATAGGATGAATAAAGAGAAAGTTACGACATAGGTAACACGCACCGACGTTGGAACCTTTGGATTTTCATCAAGAAATTCAACATAAAGAATGAAGGATCCAGCCGAAACCGCAAGCGGGATGCCCGACAAGAGAATGGTCAAGCTGCTGAGCTTCCAGAGCAGCTCATCTGTCTCGCCGCGAAAGGGTCGATTCCAAACAAGAAGATGAACGGTGCCATAGAAAAGACCCGCCAGAGGAAAGCCCACAAGTGATGAATTCCACTCAGAGCCCGTACTTGAACTGGCTATCATAGGCCGATTACGCAGACGTATCTCTAGGTTGTCCTTTCTTACATTTTCGGGGGTGCGCAGATCATACTTCCTAGCAGCTTCTGAAGCTACTCTGAAGCGTTGGAAGTCAGTTTCGGTAAGATTTTGCACACCGGGTGTCGAAATCGTTCTAGCCGTGGGGACGGCAAAACCATGGTATACAAGATAATCTTGCCTCGGAAAACGTGGGTCCTTCGATGGCCTCAGCCGGATGTTTTTCACGTAATGATGAGCGATAATGTCTCCAGGCTCGGACGCCGATTCGAGATCTTCATTGTCTTGCATGTCCATCGGCGAGAAATGAGCTCCCGAAAACATATCGCAAACAGCTAAGAACGCCACCACGGAGTGTGTATCATCGTGTGTAAGAATCGTCGGCTCCTCCACATCTAGAGGTTTGCTCCACCAAAGGAACCAATAAAGAGCCAGAGCGCATGCTGCATGCACAGCAGTATTGATCTCCAGGAGCGATATGGAAAGACCCTGGGACAATCGTGTCAAACACTGGATGCCAAACCACAACGCTTGTCCGCAAGTCAAGACCTTCGTGAACATGTTGGCCTTGCTCTTGTCTTGTATCTCTGATTCGGGTATATCCGGAACCAGTCTGGGATGGTATTCGGATATGTAAGTAAGACCCGCTAGCGTCAGCGTCATTCTTTGGCGCCTGCTGGGAAGATAGGCTAGATCTAAGCCCCGAGTATCAACGGCAAAACCGCCCATCGTGGCGTACAGAGAGTGCGAATGTGTCCATGGGTATCTTTGAGACTTCCGCACAGGCGCCGTGTCCGTATGCTGAACAGATTGCTCTGGCACTTGTCTATTGTATGTCGCGAGGCTGATGGTGTCTGTCTTGTAGCCAAGCTCAGAGAAACCAGCGTATATGCCATGGCTCAACCTTTTCCATGACCTCTCGACCTGACGTAAAAGCTTCCGCGGGTTCAGAATCTCCAGCCTTTCTACGAGGTCCGGAGGTTCTGGCTGGCCAAACGCCTTCCTCATCGTTTTCCCTATATCGTTTGCCGCTAGGTGCTCACAGTAGGCAGTGAACACGACCTTGAACTGTATCAACATCAACCAACTGTGCAGCAGGGTAATGCGACTCACCCATTCTGGAGCAAATAGTGCTGTAATCATCCAGGCTGTCTTCCGCCACAACTGTTTGTTGGCGCCTTTATACTCGGGGATATTCAAATGAACAGCTGTCCAGACGCATAGAATCATCGTCAATAGAGAGGATGAAAGAATGGAGAATGTGCCGCGGACCAAGGGCTCGGTTTTCCAAAGGTGATATTGTGTTCCGTTGTGCATAGTTGTATTCGCCATTTCGTCTGCTATACCGCTTGGTTGTGAGCGCAAGTCCGCGCTCGCGTCACGTTATATGAGACTCTTTCTCTCGGGCGTTGATTGCAGTCAGGCTTGGAGACTTTTTTGTCCTGCGTCGAGAGCAAGGAAAGGAAGGCTGGGACTGACGAAGAGATAAGAGAAAAGAGAATATGTCCGTCTCTCCTTGGGCTATCAGTCAACCATTCTTCAGCCGCCAATGTTGTGGCGCTTGTAAGGCCACAAGGCTGAGGCAATGCACCATACCGACAGCGCAACGCCCCGCTCGAAACCTGGAAGCTGACAGACATGCATGTCGCAAACTTTGCACTCACCTATGGGATGGTGCGAAGGCGGATGGCATATAGAGTAATCTTCTGTGGTGTCGCAGAGCAAATGGTGGCTCACAATCCATAGACGAACGTGAGCCTATCGTCACCCTCCCTGCCAGACCGCGCAGCCCTCTCGAGCCAATCCGCGAGCGACGCGAGCTTACTCTGCGACTTCGCCATACCGACCACTCTCTTGAGCCATCGTTGCCGCTGCGGCAGCGGACCTTTTCCATGAAGTCTTTCTGCTTCGACATCGTCCTCGCTCCACTTGCGCAAAATGTTCTGTCGCGTCTCGTTCTCGACCTTTAAGCGCCGCAGGAATAGCACGTAGCCAATCGCCGCTAATGCGACGGACGCAAGCGTCCACCAAAATGGAACAATGTAGCCGCCCGCAGCATATTTTGGTCGGAAAAGGATGGCTGAGATGACTCCAGCGAGATTGCCCCATCCATTGATACCGAGAAGCAATGCGCGCTTACCAGGTGACGGTGTGTTGCCAGATATCCAGGCTACAGTGAGTGGGGAGGCGACGTAGGTACCAGAGAGGAGGATGTTGAGGGCAATGTAGCGAGGTATTGCCCAAGAGGTTGGTAGCAGAACCACGATTACCAACCCGGCCACCATGATGAATAAGCCAAGCAGTATAGGTTTGAGGCGTATACGATGTTTGTCGCTGTAGCTAGCTGCGAAGTACAGTACTATGGCTCCGCAGATGTGTGGCGGAGCAGTGAGCAAATTGATGAGCGCAGGATTCGCCTTCTTCGTCAGAGGTGCTAGTACGAGTGGTAGGAAGACGGAGAAGGCATAGACTGGAATGGCAGATAGAACGTTACAGGCGAGGATGTGCCATATCTTCGTGTTGAACACTGATGAAAGGACGTCGTGAGGGCTCAGGCCGCGATCGTCCACCAGCTGTCGCGATGGCGTGGCTGAGGTGATCGAGTGCTTGGATGAGTCGAGAAGACCGCGCGACTCCTCATCGTAGGTCTCTTCCGCCTCTCGATCATCTTCTTGGACTGTTGCCGGTGCGTTCTGTATGTCTCTGTCTCTCACCACACGCGAAGATGCATATCGACGCTCTTCAGGTGTGAGGAACCATGCCGTCTCCACGCTGTGTGGTAGCCAGAAGTATCCGATGAATGCCACCACGATAGTGAGAGTGCCTTCCAATAGAAAGAGCACCTGCCACGGCCTCCAATCTTTGTCTGAACCTCCATCGTCATTTCCGAAGTGTGAGAACACTAGATAGCTTATAAGGCCCCCAAGCGCACCACCAACTGCTGCCTGGCCATAGAAGAACGAGAGTCGTCTGCCGAACTCGAAGCGTGTATAGAAGAGGGAGAGGTAGGTGACGGTGACTGGGTAGAATCCAGCTAGAGACAATGTTAGCTTCAGAGTCTGGATAGGGAAACGACAATCGAATGAGGAAAGAGCAAGTGGGAGGCCTTCATACCTTCGAGACAACCGATGAGGATGCGCAGCGTATACAGCTGCCACCTATGCCTCACCCACGCATGTAGCGCAGTGCAGACACCCCAAAGAAGCATGCAACTCGGTACCCAAAGCACCATGCCATATCTTCTTCCCAGCGCCGCGCCCAGTGGTTGCAGCGCAACGAAGAAAGCGAAGAACAGCGCAACAGCCGTGTTCAGCGCGCTTTTGTCAAGCCCAATATCCGCCGTAAAATGCGCAGACTCTGCGTTTCCGATCTGTTTTCCATTAGCAACAGCTCTCCCCCTAGAGTTCTTGTATACGTGCATTCGACTTATCCAGCGCATTAAACAGGAACAACAGCGCCAGAAACGGCAGTAGTAAACAGTCCAGTTTCCTCAACGTCCTCTTATGCAACCGCGCATCCACAGCGCATGTCTCCTCCAGCTCATCCGGCGGCATGGTGTCGTGTTCCGTTGCTGAGGAGGACGGAGCTGCAGTGAGCTCGTACAGCTGGTGCTCATGGTCGGCCATATTGTCGGGCGCCAAGAGCGAGCCCACGCGCATGCATCACAGGGTCTGCGACTTCGGATGACCTCGGTCTGTGTCGGGAGGGATGACGCGTTGGGGTAAGTGAGAAAGGGTTAGAGTCAACAGAGTGATGCATGATGAAATGTTGTGGAAATGTCAGATGAGGTACGGAAGATTAGATGGGCGGTTGAACTATTGTTTTGGACCCTGAGGGCATGACGTTGTTGATTGGAAGGTTTATGGGGGTGCTGGGATTGGCGCTGGAATGGGAAGGCGCCGAGAGTGGCTTATCGATTACCACCGAGATTGTTGACTATCGTTTTGGGTACTCTCGTGACTCTCTAACATCATTTTAGGACACTCTGATGCAACACGCGTCCTTTGTCTACTCCATCATTTCTTCTTCCCTCTTTCCAAACGCCTTAACAGCCTCGTAGTACAACGTAGCAGTCGCTTCACACGGTCCCTTCGCCTTCTCAGTCGCACACTGGTTGAACATGTCCGTCTTGAAGTTACTATCGGTACGCGCCTTCATCGCGTCGAAGCGGCCTTGTTGTTTGTAGTTGCGGTAACCGAAGTCGTGGCGGTAGCATGAGTTGATAACTGCAATTATTAGTATTGTGTACTCAGTATATGAGAAGCTTGGAGAGGACATGGAATGTGAAGAAATGTAGTAAAGGGCACTTACAGTCAAATCCAAACGGATTGTCTGGGCTCGCAGTGCACCCATTGCTCTCCCAGTTTAGCTCTGGAGGGCCGACCTTTCCGTTGCGGTTGGCGATGAACTCCGCGATGGAGATGTCGAACATGTAGCTGTCTGTGACCTGCTCGAGGGTTCCCTGACGTTCGACAAGTTGTGCAGGCGCGGAGACAGCAAGCGAAGCAAAGCCCAGCAGGGCAGTGATGATAGTGGACTTCATGGTGCGTAGACTGAACGAAGTGTTCGGGACTGATGATATCGTATATAACCTTAAGCTAAGCTACACTGCCTCACTTTATACCACGTACACCACGATGCGTAATGTCCCGATGTTTGCGCCGCGGGGTCTTCCCGGTCTTGGGTGCTTGCGACATTATGGGTACCTGCATGTGTGCTTCGGAGCAGATCACTTGCATATGAAATGAAGCACTTCGTCGAAATAGGCCCTTATGTGCTGGAAGCGTTGTAGTAAGTAGAAGAACAGCATGCAAAAGGACGGAAGAATGCATGCGCATGCCAGATCTGTCAGATCTGTCCGTTGTCACGGTCTTATGTCGGACTTGCCAAGAGGTATGTAAGCAGGTGATCCGAGACAGCCTCTTCAGCCGCGCTATCATGACCGCAGTTGTTGCGCATGTTGTTGATCGGTATTTAATGGAAGATATCGCAAGGAAAAATTGGAGAGTCATGAGTACAGTGCTTGTAGTGCCTTGGTAATAAGAAGGAAGGCAAAGTTCGGGATTGAGTCTACGCAAAGACGGGGCAGATACTCCAGATGGTTGTAGGTACTGACATGTCTGATATCAATATCCAGCTTCTGCAGTAGCAGGTCTCGTCAAATTGTAAGGGGACCTTGCTAGAAGTAGTCGGTTACGCATCAGAACTTGCAGGCCGATTAATGGATGCGTGCCGACGAAACGCGCTTCCGAAATGCCGCTCGAGAACCGGTCATAGGATGCTGTTGCCGTGGATGTAGATCGTGCAGATTGACTGTCTGAGGAGTCCCAAAGCCTAAGGCTTGAGCTTGGTAAGTTGAAGCGATGCCCCACATGTTCGTTCTTCACTGGTTTGATGGACACGGCTATCGTCCACTGATGCGGGGTTGTCGCTCTGAACACATCGGGTCCTCTCTGCAACTTCTCCAGCTCATGCGTCCTTCCTCGAAGTATCGTGAGCGAGCTCGAGACATCGGTCAGACATCGGAAAAGGCCCTGTAGTCATCACTCCACAAATCACCATCATGCGTGCAATGCCATTCAATTGTCTATGAGCATATTCCCACTACTTATACAGTGTCATCCGCTCTTTCTGGTCCTTCCATTCCCCTCGCTTACAACTTGCTGATGAAGAGACGGGCAGCGAACATGCGCAGACGCTGGGGCAGGATGTACTTGGAGAAGATGTAGATGAGCGATGGCAGGAGGATGAAGGCCACGGTGGTCTCGTTGACGAAGAAGAAGGGGATGAGCTGGGGCATGGCCGACTTGAGGATAGTCTGTTACTTGTATTAGCTTCCTTCCCTCATTCTCCCATGTCCTATGTCCATTCTCACCATCTGCTGAGGGCCAACCTCGGTCTTCTTGTTCTGGCTCGCGATGAAGGCGGGACGTGCCAGGGCGGAGGGGCGGACGGCCATGGGCGCGCGGGCAGCGGCAGCCCTGGAGAAGGGGCGGAGGAAACGGGCGGCGTTCATGATGGGCTATCTGGAGTTTTGCGGGTCAGCGCGCTGCTGTGGGGGTCCAATTGGCGGAACTGAGCCTGGGAGAGGGGAATTGACGCACTGGACGCGATGGTCGAAGCCTGGGGAGATGAGGGGAGATGGTGTTGCGGTCGCGGGAGTTTCGGTGGTGTTGCTATCGTCGTCCGCAAAAGCTCGCACAGCTGCGATCCCGGAAGTTGCCGCGTCCGTGCGTTGGCTTGGCGCTACCTTCCCTTCCAACTCCGCACTTCCCCACGACTACTCATCTGTATCACACGTTGCGTCTTTGAAAGTTCTTGAGACTCCTATACTGTCGCCTCCACCCAGCGCATCCCCTTTCACGATAGCCTTTGCTCATGTTCTGGAACGCCCCTGCTGCACGCCGCCGGACTGCCTAACACTAGAGTTTAAGGTTTGCACAGTACTCCAAACATGATGATTGGTGTAGAGAATGTCGGGTCTCTTATCCGCATGGATATCACAGACCTCTACAGCTTCATTTCTGGTCCTATTTTATATGACGAAATGAGCTAGTGTTGGCTCTTCCTTTCAACCGTGTCAAGTGCGGGGGGCCTCATCTTCCAACCTATGTAAAGGTGAAGCTTACTGCACTCGTGTGACATTTCCTCACCTGCCGCTGATTCCAAAAACGCCAACATGGCCATCGAGAAGATCATGATATTAGGAGTAAGACGCGGGATGGGCTGACTGGTATCGAATGGCTAACATGCGCAGAACTGGGAGCTTTGCCTCACCATCCTTAACGCCCTCTTCCCACAGGAAAAACGACAAGGAACACCTATATATCAAGTCACTGTACTCACTTATCTTTCACAAACCCTCAGCCTGCCACCTCACGTCAAGGCCTCCGATGTACAGCACAAGAAATCCGGCTACTCGTCCGCTTCACTACAGTCAGTAATGACTGGGCAAGACTTGGTTATAAGCACAATGTCAGGCGGAGATTCAGAGCAACAGATCCGCATAATAAACGCCGCCATCGCCGCTGGGGTCAGGCGCTTCATCCCTGATGAATTCAGCCACGACAGCATGAACAAGCAGATACAGGCGCGCATTCCGAAAGATGCCGGCCGAGCAAAGGTCATTGCTCATCTGAGGAGTATGCGGGAGGATTACCCATATTTTGAATGGACTGCGATTGCCACAGGGTATACGCTTGACACCCAGCTCATCAGCGGCAACATGGGTTTTGATCTCGAATGGCATAGCGCGACTATCCATGGCATCGGTACTGAAGCTTTCGCAGCTTCCAGTCTAGAGCGAGTCGGACGCGTCGTGGAACGCGTCATCTCACACTGGGACCAAGTCAGGAACCAATACATATACGCTGCAGGCGTCATAACGTCCGCCAACGAGGTCCTGAGATCTACTGAAAAGACGACTGGCCGGGAATTTACCGTCGGAAACCACGATGTTCAAGAGTGTGTTGCAGAGGGAGAGAAAAGAATAGAGAAAGGATTCCCCGACTCTGGCATGTTTCTGCTCGAGCGGAGTGTGCTGTATGACGAACAACTGGACGCATCAAGACCTTTCAGAAATCGCAACTCGAACTATGTGCTAGGACTTAAGTCAGAGTCGGTCGAGACTATCGTCAGAACCGCCTACGACGACTTCAAACACTACGGCAAACCAGGATGCGGATGTTCAGCTTGATACCCCACTTAACGTCAGACTTCTATACCATACCATCAACCTCACGCCTAATTCTACCTCGTCTCCCCTCCAATCGCACTGACTGCCCAGACCATACCCTCCCCGCAAATCTCGTCCATCCTGCATAATCTCCCATCTCCACACCCACCCCCTACCCGTCCTCTTTCCCGGAGCGGCAGACGAACAGTCCTTCATATAAGTCAAAAGCCACCCTTACCGATCAGGAACGATGTCGTGCATACACCCGGATAACGCCACGTCGTAGATCCCGTTCGGCATCGCTTGGACCCTGAGTTCGACCCAGCCTCAGGATACGAGGCTAGGATTGCGAGATCGCGTGATACGAGAGCGCATGGCGGGCCATTGTGAAGGACGTTGCGCATGAGTAATTTCCTGGATGTCGATAAAGTTCGAGAGAGGGCGATTTCGGAGGATGGAAACGGAATTAGGACGGCGTTGTCCGCGATGGGAGGCGCAAAGC